ACGCCGCGCAGGGAACGCACGCGCCTTGCGAAAAGAAATCGCTGAGGCCCAGGGTTTAGCCAGGGCCTAAAAGGGACTGGCCGACTGTGACGCTGCGGTTACCTGAGCGGATTGCCTAGGTTTCCCGGTCACGCCGCGCAGGGAACGCACGCGCCTTGCGGCAAGAAATCGCTGAGGCCCAGGGTTTAGCCAGGGCCTAAAAGGGACTGGCCGACTGTGACGCTGCGGTTACCTGAGCGGATGTTGCCTAGGTTTGTAAAAATCCCCTTTAGTTAACCGGTGAAACGGGGGCTGTCACTGCGGGGCTGGCGCAGCCCTGCCCACAGGGTCCCTGGGCCGCCCGCCATGAACAGAGGCTGCTCTGGCCACTTTGGAGTGTCCCCTGCCAGTCTTGCGCCCCACAGGACTGGAGCACCCCTGCCTATGGCACGCCTTTGTCTGCTTCAGCCCCCCGCCAGTTAACGGTTGGCATCCCCAATGCTGGCAACAAAGTTGGAAGGGATATTTCACCTCCTGCTTCTTGGCATAAACTAACGGTAATCTCTAACTAGTAGAAATCCAGTTGAGATCTATCTAGCATGGGGGAGGGTGGTTATCTCACCTCTGCTTGCTAAGAGGTTCTTACACCTTCCTCCCAAGGATCTGATGCTGGCCACATTTAGTTATGGGAGACTGAAGTAGATGGATCTCAGGTCTGATCCAAAATCACCATCGCTCCTTTTTAGGAGCATAGCACTCTAGACACTGTAAGTGTTTCTTTGATTTTATTTCATGATTAAAGGTTCTCTCTCCCTTTCCAGGTGTTTTAGGGTTAGTGCTGACAGATGGAGCTAATGGGCTGCATATCAAGGCAGCTTTGTAAATTTTCACTTTCTTGGAATGAGCAACCCTGTTTTTCATGGGGGGAGGGAATAATGTGCCTTCAAACACTTGTAGCCTCTTATCTTGTTGGCCCTGACTATAACCTGTCCAGTCCATATCCTTGTGATGTATAAATTCTACAATGTTGCCCCTTAAGAAGATTAATATCACACTCCTCTGCCAACACCCAAAGACAATACTATCATAGGAGCAACATTTTTCCTACTGGAGTGGAAATGGTCCTAAAAATTCCAATTTGCAACTTCCTCTCTTCATATTGTAGGAAATGTAGTAGATTGGGTAGCAAAGGGATGTTGTCATGAAGTCTCAAACACCATGTATGTTAACATCCAAATCTAATAATTTCTTACATTTTAAATTGCAGATGAAGATGATGTTCACAAGTGTGGGCGATGCCACTCTGAGTTCACCTCTTTGGAAGAATTTGTACAGCACAAATTACAAAAGATCTGTCAACGAACTCAAGAAGTCATTACTGCCACATCAACAAGTCTTCTTAGCCAAGAACTACAAAAGGTGACAGCAGGCTTTCCCTCAAGCCATGGCTCAAAATAATTAGAATAATCTAATGTAAGTGAACAAAAGATATGGTTTTAACTTTTCCTACTAAAACATTATCTGTTACAGCAGGTTGTTCCTTCTGTTGAAGACTCCATAACTGTTGCTCACATAGTTGTTGAAGCATCTTCAATAGCAGAAGAAATCAGTAATGCATCTTCTATAGTAGGTAAGTTGCAAGGTTTTACAGAACTGATGCTACTTTAGTATAATCAAGTGCAATCATTTAGACTATTGTCTTACCATATATGGATATGTCTACCCTTGCACCCTCTTTCGAGAGAAGTATGCAAATGAAGACATTCAAAATTGCAAATGAAGCCAGGATTTAAGTATCCCGCGCTTCATTTGCATAATCGCATTGTGGCGCTATTTTGAAATAACAGACGCTGTTAAGACTCGCTTATTTTGAGAGAAAACCCTTCTCTCGAAATAACCCTTATTCCTCATACAATGAGGTTTACCAGTTATTTCGAGAGAAGGGTTTTCTCTTGAAATAACCGTGTAGACATACCCTGTTAGTCAGATGGTGTTGCATTGTAAATTTGAGTTGTGCCCCTGCTAGTTCTGTAAGAATTTGATTTCATGATCAGTACTGTATGCTGTCAGAATTGGTTGTATGTTCTGTATATGGTAAGAAACAGATTTTAGGTGCTTTTACAGTCAATGAAAATACAGGTCAGATGATTGTGGCATTTACTTTCAAAGGTCATGTGGGATGACATCCCTGTTGTTTCCAATTAAAGAAGGCCTTGTTGACTAGTGTGGTGGTAGAGACAATATGTTAAATTGTCACAGGTATTTGTGTGTGGCTCCTGAGCTTTAGGTAGGTAGAACCAAGAAGTCAGCAGGTTAAATCTCTACAGCTACCATGATGGGTGGAAATTCTACAAACCACTTTTCCAGCTCCCACTTGAATACGTTTATTATGTATTTTATTGAGATTTAAAATGTCCTGAGCTTCAGTACCTTTAGTGTGACTTAGAAAACGCAATAAAGAGTCCCAAAATCAGTCAGTATGACTTTGGCATATATCATTCATATTTAGTCACTTGCTTCTCCTTTCCATTACTTGGTATTCTAAAAAATTAAATCCATCCAGTCATGTGAACCTGTGTTATGTAAAGAGCGTAGCTGTCTTCATATCATTTCCCCAGGTAGTGGGCACATCAAAGAAGTCATTGTCACAGGAGAACATGTTTTTGAAAATCCTAATGGCCAGATTGATGGTGAGATCACAGAAGGACAGGGCAGCCCTGATGACCTGGAACAAGATGGCTCCACAGAGCTGATTAAGGTTAAACTGCTGGTTAATAAAGAAGGTCGATATGTGTGTGAGTTATGCCACAAGACATTTAAAACGGTAAGTTATGGAGCTAGTAGCTCTACAGTCTACTTTTCTAATGTTCTTATCAAATCCATTAGGACAGTTGTGCAGACTTGATGGAAAATTCATTTCTTAATACATAATCTTATTTGGAGATTGACCTTATTTCAAAACTAGTGCCAGTTGGTCAAATTGGATATTCATGATAAAGCTTTAATTACTGTCTACTACAAAAGAATTGCTATACCAGATTACACCAGTGGACCATTAGGTTTATCTGGTGTCCTGATAGTGGTCAGTGATGAAAGTGTAAAACCGCTATAATGGACAATCATGAAATAATTTGCGGGTAAAGCTTCTTGTCTTTTAAGCCCTGAAGCGTGTAACTTACGTAGTTTTGCATTAGGTTGCATTCCAATATGTCCATTATATTCACCTGTAAATTTAATGATACAAACACTTCTTTAATCCTGGTAAGGGTTGGGATTTTGTGTCTTTTCTCAACTTTCTTGCAGTTCTATGGTTATATTTTTGATTAATAGCATGAGTATTATGGAATGCCTTTGATTTATTGAAATGTAAAACAATGAAAGGAGCATTTCTACCAATCTTTATAAATCAGTTCTTGTTTTCTAGGCCAGTATCCTTAAAGCTCACATGATCACTCATAGTAGTAGGAAGGACTATGAATGTAAACTGTGTGGAACTTCATTTAGGACAAAGGGGTCTCTCATTCGACACCACCGACGTCATACAGGTAACATGCTGTTTTAAGTGGTTCCTAATTGCTGGGCTGGGCTGTACTTGGCTCCCCCATCTTGTCTTAATGATGAGCTGAAATGTTCTACTGTTTTCCACCTTTCACTGAGTTGAGTGCAGTCTAAATCCCACCATGTTGGGTCTGCTTCAAAGCTTAATTTCAAAAACTCTTGCCATTGCAGATAGTGCATGTAACTGGATGTAAGGTAGGGGGCACAGGCAGCTACACTTGCTCCAAAAGGTTGGGAAGTGCTGCACTATAAGTATACTTGATCTAATGAAAATTCTTAAGATTAGTTAATAGAGCTTCTTTGTTGTAATGACTTATGTTTCTCTTACTTTGTCAAGATGAGCGACCTTACAAATGCAAGAAGTGTGGGAAAAGCTTTAGGGAATCGGGAGCATTGACACGGCATCTGAAATCTTTGACACCTTGCACTGAAAAAATCCGTTTCAACATGAGCAAAGAAATAGTTGTTAGCAAAGATGAATTGCCAACAGGTCAGTGAAATAGAAAATGCATGTCAAGCATCAAAGTGTAGGTCATGTGACATTCCTGGCATTCAATTGGCAGTATTTTCCTCCATTTTTTTTAATATAAATGTGTAGTGTAACATCTCGCTCCCATTTTTTTAGAAAAAATTAACCACCTTCAGGACAGATAGCCAAACTATCAATCCATCATGCACGTGGATGGAGGCATGCCATGGATAAGTCATAGATTGAAAGATTTACTTGAGAAACTGGCTCTGTCATTAATATTAATTAATTTAAGCACAAAATTGACATGGAAATCACTGTTTATCTGCAAAACGATGGATGTCATTATATGAAACAGTGCCTGAAAAGAGTTACATGTGGTAAAAGCAAAAAAGCAGTCCATCAGCAAAAAGTTAATATTTCTAGACACCTGAGTTAGATATGCTGAAGTAGAATTGAGTCAAATGGTTGTCTATAGGGTTTAGCTTCACACTTGGAACTAGAGTGGTTGTTTAATCCTGTGCTACTTTTCTTGAAGAATCCTGTAGTTCAAACACAGAGGCTGTTTCACCTATAGCAAGTGAATCCATTGAGACTCCCCTGATTCACCTACTAACAGATGCAAAAGGCAATGTCCTTCACGAAGTCCATGTCCAAATGCAGGAACTTCCTGTTGATGCAAAATCCTTGGATCAAGAGGTGAGTGTGTGTTTCTGTTGGATACTCTTCGCACATTTTTGTGCAAAGAAGCAAAATTGCTATTCCAAGGCTCTTAGGTTGGAAGGTAGCATTACGCACTTATACTCTCCTTACTACCAGTTCTTAGGTAACAGTGAACATTGTTTAATAGTCCTTTCTGAGACTGATGACCTAAAACAGATGGCTTCATCTTAGATTCCATTTTTTGACATTGTTGTGTGTAGCACGGAATAGCTGGAAGCATGCTTAGGAGGCTTGTGTAATGGCTTAAAAGGGGAATCTAAAGAGGACTTCGGAAGGTCTGCACAGGACTTAAGTCTGTATAGATTAATTTTAATTCAGTTATTTCAGTAGATACTATTCCTGTAGAACTTTAGTTCCAACATTAGATTTCAAACTTTCTAAACACATCTGAAAAAAACAACCTAGCACATGCTGCTGGCTGGTTTGTTATAAGACTGAGAATAGTAGGGCAACTGTGTTTGTTAATATCCTTTTGTTTAGGGAGAAACAAAAAAAATCTGTGGTGCTGCTAATGTCTTATTTACTAATATCTTAATTTTTGTGAAGATGAAACTTAAAACCAAGCCAGGTGTAAATAAAGGTGAGGATGCTTTTCCTGCTCCTGCTGTGAAACTGACCTCAAAAGCACATAGGAAAAAAGGCAGTATGTGCAGCGAAAATAAACAGTAAAGTAGGTTACATGAAAAGGCCATAGTAGAGCATTTGGTAGTGGAGTTAAGTCTTCATTGTAAAATCAAAAAAGTTATTTGTCCTGCATCTGTATAGGATCAATGACCCATATGGTGACCGTGAGTGACCTACGATGGCCATATTTCCAGTGAAAGGCTGGAAAGTATCCCTTCAGATGCAATTTCTCAAGCTCTAGGACCTTTCCAGAGTAAGGATGTTAAGTATCGTGTAACTGACTATTCGATTAGTCTATAGGGCAGCAACTGCCCGTTTGAAATGCTGCTGTGGTGTTTCAAAGTGGCAGCGCGCTGCATGGAGCCTGGGGTCAGCTGGGGACTCTCCAGCTGATCTCTGGCTCCACAGGATGCTCCTCTTTGAAACGCCACTAATGCACAAGCAGTTGACCCCAGGCTCCATGTGGTGCTGCTGCTTTGAAGTACCTCCTTCTCCCTCTCCTTGGCTCGATCTGATAGAAGCAGAACGGGGAGAAGGGGGAAGCGACTAGTCGACTAGCCTGTTGACTAGTCCTTAACGTCCCTATTCCAAAGTTTACACATCCCCTTTGCTTTCTGGTATCTGAGGTCACAGAACCAGTCACCTTCATGACAAGCACTAGAAATACAAAGTTCTGTTGCCTAAAGGGTTGACTTCACATCTTCTATATTTACCATCTGTCTATTTTGACTTTCTTTAGCCATCAAATCCTGAGGAAGTACCATGTGAAGGGGAAGTGAACAGTGAGAACTTGCTGAGGCAGGCCATGAGGAATTCTGGGATTGTGATAGAAAAAGTTTCTGTGGAAGAGATGCAAAAATCAGATGAACCTGGTGTGGCTGCTACAGAAGAACTAGAAAATGAAGAGATGGAAGCAGAAGAGGAGCAGTGTGGGGAACAGTGTGTTGAAGTAGAGCAAGTAGAGACTGTATGTTTGCACCATCCATTTTTATCAACTAGCTTATTTTTTTTTCTATAGGAAATACACAGGCTGTTAGGAATCACATGTGATCACCTTAGACATTAGCTTCAGTGTAGCTACACTTCTAATACTTGTGCACTATGTATAAGCATAGTGACCAGCAAAGACAGTAATACCTTTTGTGCATTAGAACTTGAGGTGTCAGCACCAGCTGCCTCTTTGATAATTTGATTTTTCTTGTCTTTAAATCAAAGTGCATTTAGCTTAGAATTTTGATAGGAATATTGATTCCACATACTGTATGGAACAGACACTTACGTTATGATATTTGATTTCAATAGACGGATACAGAAACAAACGGATACAAAAGTTATGTTTGTCCTCACTGTAGTGAAGTTTTCAGTGGGGCTGTTTCCCTTGAGGCACACGTCAAAGGACATTTAGGTAGGTATTGCAATGAAGTTCTGCGCAGTGCATGTACCTGAACTGTTTATGTAGCATTTGTTGTGCAAACTTTATCCCATGCAGATTCAGTTAGCATTTAAAACGCTAATGGAGAAATGAAGGCAATGAAGAGACTTCCACTGAGATCTGGAAGTGGTATATAGTCTAAAACATGTGAAAACAGCTCCATATTGAGGAGCTTCAGAGGAAAAGGCTCTTGTGCTACTAGTGAAGGGGAGTTTTTATGCGAGGGACGTGAGAGCTGGATTCAAGAGGACAAGGGGAAAAGATTGAAGGGCGACCAGGTGTGTGAATGGCTGACAGCTCTTTGACATGCTTGAAAAGTAAACAAGTACGATTTTTTAGTTGAATCCTGTAATGAATAGGCAGTTAATAGAATTGAGGGAATGGAGCAGACCCCACATTACTCATTATTAATGCTTATATTGGAAAAAATCATTCTCCCTCATCTCCCCTAGAATCCTCAAGGAGGTACAAGAATGGCCTTTTGCAGAAAATCTATCATTTTAGCCAGGTAAAAGGTATAGCACAGTTAGCATCAGGTCAGATGTTCCTGCTACATGCACATTCCCTTGCTGTGGAGGGAGTGCTATTAGGGATGGGGGGGACAGATGGACTTTGGTCTGCTTGGGTCTGATGATTCTGACAAGTGCAAGTTGTCTTTAGGGATGTAAGTGACTAATCGACTAGTTGCTTCCCCTGCCCCCCTTGCTGCTTCTGTCAGAAAGAGGCAGCAATGGGGGTGTAAAGAGGAGGGGGTGCTGGGGGGAGCCGGCTTAAAAGTCGGTTCCCTCCAGCTCTGTGGGAGAGGGCAGGGGTGGCATTCCACATTTGAAATGTACAAGAGCCCCACTGAGGCTCTTGTACATTTCGGCGGTGTGGCACTTCTGCCTTTGAAATGTAGCAAGAGCTGGCTGGGCTTTTGCTACATTTCAAAGCAGAAGCCCCCTTATCGACTAATCGAATAGTCAGTGGAAATTCCATTGACTATTCAATTAGTTTATTAAGCTAATTTTAACATCCCTAGTTGGGGTGATCTCTTATGTGGGCAGAAATATTAGGAAGTGGTTTGAGATAAGACCCTATCTAATGGCCTTTAGATAGTACTAATGGAGCCATTGTGTATGTATGTGTGTGTGTGTGTGTGTGTGTGTGGTCTTTATTTGAACCAGGGCTCTGACAGGGAGAAGCACCCCATCATCTTTACTTCCCTGAGTTACCTAGTCCCTCTGGTCAGACGTGGCATAATTACGTTATTACTTTAGTGCAATAACATTTCAGAATTCCCCAGAGCTGCTGTTGCCTGTGGTCTAAGATGCCTCTCTCTCTAGGTTACAAAGTGTTTAAATGCGAGGAGTGTGGCAAAGAGTTCATGAAAGGCTATCTGTTGAAAAAGCACCAAGAAGTCCATGTCAATGAGCGGCGCTTCCGTTGCGGTGAGTGTGGCAAGCTCTACAAGACTATCGCGCATGTGAAAGGCCACCGGAGGGTGCACTCAGATGAGCGGCCGTATTCCTGTCCAAAGTGTGGCAAGAGATACAAAACAAAGGTAGGCGCCTCTTTCCAAAGCACTCGTGCCTTCTGATCTGTGCTCCCCAAAATCATTCTCTGTGGAACGCTCACAGGGGCTGAAACATTTGCTGTCAAAAACACTGTGATGCAGTTACCTCAGAAATGTTATGTAGAGCCTGTGGTTAGCACACTAGACCAATGTCAGCCTCCTTATAGGCCTTCTGTATGTGACTCCTAAGGCACGGTAGGAAAGGCAGTTTTGTTCGGTTTTCTTTTAGTTGTTAGTGATCTTTAGCTGTTCCAGGAGAGCTACAGGATCCTGGACTCTACCCTTAACAGATCGTGATGCAGTTACCTCAGAAATGTTATGTAGAGCCTGTGGTTAGCACACTAGACCAATGTCAGCCTCCTTATAGGCCTTCTGTATGTGACTCCTAAGGCACGGTAGGAAAGGCAGTTTTGTTCGGTTTTCTTTTAGTTGTTAGTGATCTTTAGCTGTTCCAGGAGAGCTACAGGATCCTGGACTCTACCCTTAACAGATCGAATGAATGGTGGGAAATTTTTCCTTCAGGAATAATCTGTGCAGTACTTGTGGCAGAGAAATAGTCCTGTTGTGGTTGAGAGGAAAGCCTTAAGGGTTGTCTATTCCAAAGTCAGAACTATACTATCCCCCGAGGCTCGTTTTGAGTGGTTTGTCCCCATCAGTCACTCTTCCATTGTATACACTGTCTCTGCTGCAGAACGCACAGCAGGTCCATTTCCGCACTCACTTGGAAGAGAAGCCCTACACCTGCCAGTTCTGCAACCGGGGCTTTCGGGAGAAGGGCTCGTTGGTTCGTCACATCCGTCACCACACAGGCGAAAAGCCATTCAAATGTTACAAGTGTGGACGTGGCTTCGCAGAGCATGGCACACTTAACAGGCACTTGAAAACCAAAGGTGAGAGGGAGGCATTTGTCTAGCATGGGGTTCTCTTATGGCTTGATTTGGGTCACCTGCCCTGCTATGGCTCAATCTTCGTGGTTGTTTGGTATGAATCTGTGTAGCAGTAAACGTCTCGGATCAGCTCTAACTGTCCATTCCCATAAGCCATGGATTGTTTACCTGTAGTTGAGTAGCTTCAAAAGGTGCAACATTCATTCTTTTAAACTACTAAATGAATCCCATCTAGCCCAGTATCCTGTGTTCCAACATTGGCCAATGGCAGGTGCCAGAGGGAATGACTAAGACAAGGAATCATCAAGAAATCCATCCTCAGTCACCCATTCCCAGCTTCTGACAAACAGGAGAGGGACACCATTCCTACCCATCCTGGCTAATAGCCATTGATGGACCTGTCCTCCATGAATGTATCTAGCTCCTTTTTTGAATCCTGTCTTGTCCTTCACAACAGGATTTGTAAAATGCAGCCTTTGGGAAAGGAGACAGCCTGTCTTCCACACAGCTTCCACCCTGAATCTCACCATATGAGTTGGCTGTTTTGCCCTGTAACTGTTGCATTCTACAAGGCTTTAGATGAGGCCAGAAAAAACAGGGGTCTTCATCCACTAATGCAAGTTCATCTGCCTCCCAAGAGCAAAGAACGGATGTTAAAGTGGCTGGAAAACAATAATGCTTAACTATATTAACCTAGGTTCTGCCACCTAGCCCTGCCACAGCTTTGGGGTCCTGCCACGTAGCCCGCTAGCCTTGCTGTGGCAGGGGCTGCTCTGGCACAGTTCAGCTTGCCACCACTGGAGTTAACTGGAAAAGGGCCAGTAAACATACCATGAGGCTTACAGGTTACCAGTTATCATCACTACAGCAAAGGGATTAAAACACAATAGACACGCCTGGTGCAAACAGCTGCTTACATTTTTTTTGTGTCCCGTAAAGTTAAACGGGACAAGTAATTACGTTTGTGTTCTGTTTCTTAACAAGTGAAATTTTCCACTTTTTATTACCTTTTTCTGTAAAGCGTTAAAGGGGTGTGCTGTGTCTAGCTGAAGGTCTGTTCTGCAAATACTAATATTAAAAATGCTTGCAAAAATGTACATTGCTGACAGGCTCAACACCCATTGTCACCCTGCTTGTTTGTTTTACGCATACTAATTATTATTAATCATGTTGGAATGTAATGCTTCTAGACAATATTTACATTCCTAGCAAACCTGTAATGATACTGAATTGAATGCAGGTACAGTAGCTTGGCTGCTTGAGGGATGTCAAGGAATCTTGGGTCTATTCTTGTACACTTATTGGGCAAAACTTTCAAAGTCTTACTTTGGCTTAAGCACTCAATCTCATATGTTCCTAATAATTCCATTGCATTCACTGTTAAACTTGAGGCTGGATTCGTCTCCAATGTGTAGCATGCCATCTTGGATCCTAAAATTTAGGCCTAAACATTTGTCAGGGGTAGGGAGGAAGATTACATAACTGCTGCTAGCTTCTGCCCAGCAGTAGTCCATAAAAGGTGTCACTTAGGTGGCACCTAGCATTTAATTCTGAGTATGAAAACTACTTGTTTTCCCTGACATTTCTGAAATATTGTTCAGGTGGCTGCCTTCTTGCACTGAAAGAGGTTGAAGAAGTAATGGTTTCTGAGGAAAGTCAGTCAGCTGACAACTTAGCAGCAACAGTTATTTCTGAAGATCCTCATACCGTTCTAGTAGAATTTTCTTCTGTGGTGGCAGATACTCAGGAATACATCATTGAGGTAATAAGCCATTCTACCAGGCTGGTAGGAACAATTGAATTAGGAAGGGTAGAGGGGAAGAAAGGCTTGTGTTCTACTGAAACCTGTGTAGTGTTTGTCATAAAATGCCTGCACAATTCTGTGTGTTCTTCACCTGTAAAGCAATCAACGGGAGAAAAGTTCATCAATCCACAGGTTGCTATGGTGAAAGGATACAGAGTTTCTGCTTAGAAGAGAGCTCCCTGCACTACTTCTGAGTAACTTGGCGTTAATAGGGCCTGGAGGGAACTACATACAGCTGCCTCCTTGAGAAAGACAGGTCATGGCAGCAGAGGGAGGGTAGGAAGATTGTTGTGGGAGGGATCCTGCACTTCTGTCATGAAGCTTCTCAAACAAGATCCAAAATAAAATTGTTCAGCAATCTTTTGCTTTGTCTCTTTAAAGACTGCTACTGAAGACATGGAGACCAGTGAAGCTACTGAAATAATAGAAGGAACAAGACATGAGGTAGGCTGTCAAATTAGGATGCTCCTTTGGGAAATTGTTATGCATTATCCACTATCCACTGCGGTGAAGTTTCTGTGCTTGAAAGCACATGCAGCTAGCTTCCTCCCTTCCCCAAGTATGTCATTTTGCACACTGGGCTTTATGGCCCAGCAGAATATAGTGTATATGCTGGATAAGTGGGACTGCACACTAATTGCTTATGGTCTTGGTGTCATTCTTAAGAGAACAGTAAGCTTCACAAAGTGAACTAGGGGATGTCACACACAGAATCCTAGGGTGGGCAGAGACCTCAGGAGATCAAGTCCAGCCCCCTGCCCAAAGCAGGACCAATCCCAACTCAATCATCCCAGTAAGGGCTTTGTCAAGCTGGGCCTTAAAAACCTCTAGGAATGGAGATTCCACCTCTTCCCTAGGGAACCCAGCCCAGCGCTTCCCCACCCTCCTAGGGTAATAGTTTTTTCTAATATCCAACCTAGACCTTTCTCCTTCTCCCCTCCCCCCCATAACTTGAAACCATTGCTCCTTGTTCTGCCCTTTGTCACTGAGAACAGCCTCTCTCCAGCCCCTTTGGAGCCCCCCTTCAGATTGAAGGCTGCCATCAAATCTCCCACCTGACTCTTCTCTTCTGCAGACTAAATAAGCCCAAATCCCTCAGCCTCGCCGTGTAAGTCATGTGCTCCAGTCCCCTAATCATTTTGGCTGCCCTCTGCTGGACCCTCTCCAATGTGTCCATATAGGAGAGGGTCCAGCGGAGGGCAACCAATATACATACTTGTGCTAGGAGAGTACTAGCATAAGAATACAAAATATTTTTCCACGGTAGAAAATTTAACTAAATTACTTGTAGGGATTTTACATCATTAGTTCTTTGCATTCACTGGTACAACACCCTCCAGAATTGTCATGACTGTTAAGGTGACACAATGAATGTCAGGCCAGAAACAGCCCTTTCAACGCTGACTTGAAGGAGCAGCATGCACGCTACAGATGAAGTGTTCCGGACACTCTAGTTCCTTCCCAAGACTAATCCTCTAGCTGTGTATAACAGCCAGGAGTACTACTAGTATCAGAACCCCTCTTTCCCACTCCTCTCCAGTGCCTGCTCTTCTCTCTGCTGCCTCCCCCCCAGGGATTGGCACAGAGAGGCCTACCTTTCCTCACTCTCCCTCAGGGAGGGAATGAGTGAGTTACCCAGGATTTTTTGGGAGGAGGGTGTTAGATTCAGGTCCAATTCACTCAATCTGAACCAGTGCTCCAGTGTGGTGCAACTCCCTGGTTGGAACTGCATAGTTAGAGAGAGAGAGAGAGGGGCGCTGGTGAGTCTGTTGAACATGTCAAAGTGGTTCATCTTTACAATCCTTCACTGGTTTTTAGGAACCAGGAATGCATGACATCCTCGCGCTTGTTGTAAAAATAACTTGCCTTGACTTCATTAGACAAATTGTTTCTCAAATACTGGCAATTTTATAGTGAGATGAGATGTGAAATAGCTGGAATATTTCACTAAGATTCTATAACTTTAGACATTTGAGTTCATCTGAACCTGATTCTGTTTGTAGTGCCTTGCTAAAGTTACCAGGCTGCAGTTAGTTGGAGCTATGCAGTAGTAAGCACAATACATTGAGCAAGAGGAATTGTCTGGATTATTATTAAATAACTTACTCTGTTTTTTCCCCTAACTTAGGTTGACAGTCACATTATGAAGGTTGTGCAGCAAATAGTAAATCAAGCAAACTCTGGTCACCAAATCATCGTGCAGAATGTAACAGTGGCAGAAAGCTCTGAAGTTACTACTGATGCTGCAGACACTATCACTATAGCAACCCCAGAGAGTCTGACAGAGCAGGTTGCCATGACACTGGCTTCAGCGATTGGAGAAGGAGCTGTGCTGACGACAGAAGGTAGCATTGAGACAGAGGAAGCAACTGTGACAATGGTTGCATCAGAGGATATTGAAATAATGGAGCATGCAGGAGAGTTTGTGATAGCTTCTCAGGAAGGGGAGGTGGAAGTTCAGACAGTGATTATCTAGGGGCTAACATAGACCTTAGTGTTTTTCACCAAGGCAGAAAATGGGCTTAATTAGCACTAAAGTTGGCTATTCCAGTTACTTAGGGAGCAGGAGAGAAATTCTCCTTTAAAATATAAAGGAAATATTTTATAAACTGAAAATGGTTTCAATTAGGACATGACACATTTTTGTTTTAAAATGGAAATGGCAGTAGGATTAGTACTGCCTAGCTTTATGGTGCAATAAGTGACAGTCTTAAGTCACACCATTTAACTTTGTACAGCTGTCTCCAATAAAGGAATATCCTTTGCAAAGCATTTACCTCAGCCAATTGGACAGCAGTGTTCTAGTTTAAATCTGAACCGAGATGGGAAGATAAAGCAAGTATGACTTGCTCTGAAAGAACCACATTCACAAATAACTGTGAAGTTTCTGGGTGTATTGACCATGATGAAAGGCCATAGTTTCATGCCTTCCAACCTCTCTCAGCATAGTAAAGTAGTTTTCTCTATCAGACAATAGCCTTTTATATAAAGGTCTCTGAAAGAATGCATTGTAGCCTTGCTGCACTCCACAGGTGGCTACTCAGATAACCTTTTCATGTGTAAAGCCATACTGTACATGATTCTTTTATAACCATATACAGATTTTTACTTGCAAATTGTAAATAGAATACTTTTTCTAAAAAATAAAATATTTAAAGTTCTTTATGGTTCTAGTATTTCTCCTTCAGTGAACTGGTGAATGCCAGAACCACCATGAAGAATCTCTGAAAGAAGAATGGAGTGCCTGTGACAGTGCATTGGGGGTCCCCTGCCTCCTGCACCCCAAAATGGCACAAACCGACTCCACCAGCCAGTGGAATTGAGGGTGGTTTATTGCTCCTCCAGGATACAGCACAGATGTAATCTGGTTACAGGAACTAGGGCTAAGAGGCCTCAGTGTTCCCCTTGAGATAGGGGACACCCAGCCCCTTCTCCCCTGCTTTCCAGACAGGAACTCACTAACCCTCTTCCAGCCCTGCCCCCCCAGCCAGGGCAGCATTCCACCTTCCTTTGTTCCTCTCCATGGGGGGTGGCTGGCCATACTCGTTTGCATAGTGACTCATCCTGTTTTGCTGGGTCGTGGTACCCATGGCAGCCAGTGGGGGTTACCCCAGAGCCAGCAGCATAGAAACCAGCCAGGTACCCCCACTACGTCACAGTGCCCTACCCTGTATAATTAAACAAAAATCCTTAGTGAGGCTGGTTAACTCCTCTACAGCTTGTTGTGCCTGAAAACCCATGCAGGATTGTGTGGCACAGATATAAGATTTCAAATAGAACTAGGGCTTCAGAAGCTACCTCCTGCTTTATTCACTATTCCTCTCCCCATAATTTATTATAATGAGCATCTGCTTAACATTCTGGATCCAAAGGCCCAGACTGAGTGGAAGTTAGGAGTATATGTATCTATGGGTAGCTGGGCCTGGGTTCCTTTTGTAGAACCCAGCAGAGAGGGGAAGTGCAGTTTTTCCCCTACTACTAAGTACCAATCCTGGTAGACTATAGCATGACCTAATATGGCTTTAGGACAAAAGGCAGAAACTGGGTTAATGGACTTAACCCCATTTAGGGCTCTTCATGTGTACCTTGCTCATGTTATCTGCTCACTGCTGCTTAAGGTGAAGAATTAAGTTTGAGCTCAACTCCTCCACTTATATGTATGAATTCTGGCAGCATTCAAGTCTCCCGAGTCATACAACACTAGTTCCATCCTCGCTTTAGGACTGCAGAAATAATGTTAGCTAAGCTTTCACAACAAAGCCTCAATAGATCGAAGGCCCAGTCCTATATTTACATTGCAAATCAACTATTTAGTACCTACATTCTATCTCAGCAGTTTTCAAAAGTAACTAGTAATTTTCAGTGTGCAACTTAGGATATCTGTAATGGGGTATGATTGGCAGAGGATGGAAAATGTATAATGTCAAATTGAGGCGTTCAACCATCAAATCTCAACCTATTTCACTTATGCACACAAACTTCCTCTAGGCTCTTCCATTGCAAAGATCATTGAAGGGAAGATCCAAAATAGCTCTGTGTCCTAGATGAAATGATGCAAAGTTACAGCTTTGTGTCAGAACCAGCATAGAACACCACACTAATTTTCGTTCATGCAAATGTAACTTAATTTTCATGTGACTGTCTTAGCAGGTATACGCCTCATGGAGGTGTGATGAAGCCACAAAACAGTAAGATTTAGACATGCAATCTGGTCACCTTAAAGACACCTTGAAGTTCATTTGCTAAAACACTCCCAAGCAGTTCCTTAAGACTTCATTTTTATAGTTACAACAAGGCTACATCTACAGTGGTGTGATTTTGCGCAAAAACTCTTTAGCGCAAGAGTTCTACACTGGCATGTGCTTTTGCGCAAGAGCAACCATGCCAGCGTAGGCGCTCTCTTGAGCATGAAAGCTCTGATGGCCATTTTAACCATAGGGTTTTCTTGCGCAAGAAATTCATGTTGCCTGCCTACACTGGGCTCTTGCACAAGAACAGTTGCGCAAAAGGGCTTATTCCTGAGTGGAAGCATCAGAGTTCTGGTGCAAGAAGCCCTGATTTCATACATTAGAATGTCAGTTTACTTGCGCAAGAACACATGGCCAGTGTAGACAGGCAGCAAGTTTTTGCTCAAGATTGCGCCAGTGTAGACACAGCCCAAAAGTGTATGGGACATGGGAGTTTCCTGCTAAATATGCTTACTATCTCTCATCCTTAACACATGGAATTTGGTTAGCCAATTCAAGTACAGTATACTTGCTTTAACACTGTCACCAAAAGAACATACTGATGGAAAACCTTAAATTTTAAGCTATGACGATGCCCAAAGAAGCTATTTTCTAAGGATGTGTCTATACACAAGTATTTATTTCGAGATCATGTCAAAATAATATCCAGCCGGAGACTTACTCTGACTGCTGTAACCTGCATTTTACAAGGATTAAGGGAAGTCAGAGAGTGCTCTATTTCAAAATAAGTGCTATGTAGATGTGCCAAAATTCTAAATAAACTACACGATTATTGTAGCTCAAGTTGCATAGCTTATTTTGAGTTTAGCCCTGCTGGGTAGAGGTATCCTAAAGAGGGCCCACAAGCCATGGCTTTAGTCCTAGGTGTTAACTGCCATACTTCCAGAATGAGCTAAACACCACAGACAACGAACAGTTTTATAAAAATATATTTTACACCTAAATCAATTTAGGATAAAAGCCCTGTAGCTACAGTACTTAACGAAAACCACAATATCCTTTCCAGAGTCCTTGGTACTGACAAAGCTGTTGGAGCTATATCCTTCAGGAAAAATTTAACACTGATTTAAAAGTATATAGCCATTTCCTCACGTCTTTTTCTTTTTCTCTGAACTTGTAGGTTTAAAGATTTCCTTTAAATTGACCCAGACTCCTTGAGAATAAACATTTCTATAAACAATATGCCTGTCATGGGGCTCCAATGCCCGACAGCAAGAACATTCATATCTTCTAGATTTATACCATTCATTGGATGTTTGGTTAGTTAAGGCCAGGTACAGACTGAAACAACAATATGCCCCCAGGACCAGAGAGAGGACAACAACAAAACCAAGCATGAAGACAATCCTAGGAAATGTCAGGAACAGGTGCTGCAAAGAGATAAAAATAACTTATTTGAAATCAGTATATAAAGTCCTATTTTAATACATTTCGATTTAGCTCTGTTAACCACAGTACAACTGGCACAGAGATGGTGAATCCCATATGAAACCTTTAAGGTGGTTGTGAAGATAGTTCACAAACATGGATGAATGTATCTGAATGCTAGGGTGATGGGTTGCATTCAAGACAAAGAAGTTAACTTGGGATTTGAGGGTTGGCCAACAGAACTGTTGGTGGGCTCAGGGAACGGAATGTACAGGCAGTCCCCAGGTTACATGGATCCGACTTACATAGGATCCCTACTTACAAACGGGGTGAGGCAACCCCGCACTAGCTGCTTCCCCCCAGCAGACCAGGGAGACGCGGAGCGGCTTTTCTCAGCAGACACCTCAGCTTGAGAATAAAGGACTGAAGGAAGTGAGGTGTGGGAGAAAAAACTGAGCTCTGGAGAAATGTTTGGCTAGAGTTTCCCCTACAATATGTACCAGTTCCGACTTACATACAAATTCAACTTAAGAACAAACCTACAGTCCCTATCTTGTATGTAACCCAGGGACTGCCTGTATAGATTTCTTCCTGTCACTCAGCCATGATTAAGATAGCTTAATTGGCTCCCAAAAGGACGTCTTCCTTTCTCAGCCAGAAGTTTGGTGACAACACATGGAATGAACATTGCAGTAGTCGGTATCAAACAGAAGCCTCAGGGCAAGGTTTCTAGAGGGAGGCACAGGACTCACCAGAAAGAAAATGATAGTGATTCAAACTCTCAAAAACTCACTTGAGTGTGAGCAAAAATACTGGCTCGGTCACTAATCTGTTTTGTGAGCATGAACACACACAATTCTTAAACCATGACCCCTCTAGACCAAAAAAAGTTAAATATCTCAAACAGTAAATGAGGCTGTGAATGATTTACTCTACACTGCACTAACATGTATTTAAATTAATATTTATAATACTATTTCTATACAGATCAAAGATCTGTTGGATATAACTTAGAAATTGAAGAAATTGCCCTTCGAAAATATTTTTAAAGTTCCTTTGCATGATTGTGCCTCATAATTAGCACGTCAAACAAAGGCTCACTCCCCCCACAAAACACCAGAACTGGACCTACTGAAAGATTCTCAAGAGATGAGACTATAAAAAAAAAAAAACCTCTTTGTTCAGGCTACAAACCAAGAAGTAGGTTAAAACTCAGACATTACACTTAGTTTACCTGAATAAGAAAGAGAATATCAATGGCATGCTCTTGCCCCTGATCGTCAATGTAACTTCCAAGCATCATATTAGATAGCAGTACGACTTGGATCAGAAATGCTGCTGTTACGAATGCAAGGTCTGCAGCCAGGGCAGTCACAGTGAAGAGGTAAAGGAGGAAATATCTTATATTGAAGGCACCAATGCAGTTGTTAACCCACACGCAGTGGTGATCAAAACGATGTACACAACTGTTACATACACCTGGTCAAAAATTAAACACAAGACAACACAATTATTTGGGTTTTAAAGAAACCAATGAGATTTCTTTTATACAGCTTAGTTTGGTTTTTTCCCCAATAGAAATACAGGAACATGACCAGCATTTGCCATTCAGATAGGAGAATAGCGATGTGCCTGACACACATGATTAGTAATTGTGGTTTGTAGGATATAGCCAGACTTCTGTTTCTTCTGAAGGAATCTTTTGTGGCCAGGAATCTCAAGAGGAGCCAAGGAACGTTCCCCAAATGCCTGAGTTACCATGGATGGTAAATTAAATGTTTCCTTCCCCCCCCCACCTTTTTTTTTTTTAAAAACCACCAATGTGTGCCTCTTAAGGGTTAAGCAAATAAGGATGTCCCTAGCCTTTGTTTGACAGAAGCTGGGAATGGATTACTTGATGATTACCAGTTCTGTTCATTCTAAAGGCACCTGCCACTGGCCACTGCCAGGAATATGGAGCAAGATGGATATCTGGTCTGACCCAGTGTGTCCAGTCTTATGTTCTAAATACGATAGTTTCAGATAACATCACCAAGAGAAACTTAATATTTAAACATCAACAAGGATTAAAACAGTTCTTCTTTTATTCTCCAGCCCAGCGAGGAGCCCAGGGATCAAGGTTTCTCCAGTAGTGCTACCTAAAACATCATATGGAATGTACAGAGTAGGGATGCAAAAGGTTAACTAGTGGCTGGAACAACTCCCCACCTGTTATGGGCAAGGGGCTGCTCCAGCCCTGCAGGGGACAACACCATAGATAGGGGCTGCTCTCATCCGGGGCCAGTCCCAGCACAGGCGCTAGGAGCCAGCAGAGCCACCCTTAGCCGCAGCCCCAGAGCAGGGCTGGAGGTGGGAACCCATTGGGCTGCTCCAGCAGGGTTGGAGTGGTCCCCAGCCTGGATCCCACTTAGGTTAAACTAATCTATGACCAGTTAACCTACTAATGTTTAACTGTTAAACCAGGATTTTACATCCCTAGAGAGAGTACAGTTCCCTGTTTCATTTTAAGTGACAGGGATATCAAATATAACAAGAAAAATGCACAATCCTAAACTAAAGTCTAAGCAGATAAAATCTTTTAATTTCACCCTCAGTTGCTAAGCAGGATCTAACTTGACTTCTCAGTATTCCTTTGTCTGAAGTGAAGTGCCAAAGCTAAGTTAAAAGGTTGCTCTGCAATTTATTCCCTGAAGCTAATCAACATATGGTCCCCAGGCTAACATTTCCAGAAATTTGGGGATCTCCAATAGAGTTGGTTAGAAACAGCACAGACAAGTTGCTGATAATCTTGATTTGAAACCTCCTGAAAATGAGCAATAATGCCAACTATTTTTGCACTAATTAATGTATAACTAAGTTAAAGGCAGGTGAATTGTAATTAGCAGCAGCAAATGAATCTGGTGTAAATTGTTTTTTAATATAGAGACTCTTACTGCAGTGTTTAGATCTGGCTGGCTTTTCCACGTTGCAGGTAGGACACATGATGTTCTTTTGAAACATTACTCCATCATATGCGTAAGCCTTAAGAAATGACTCCTGATTTGATTGCGTTACTGTACCTATAAGAAAAACAACACTATAGCAACAAGCTTCCCCATAAAGAAGTGCTGTTACGGTGTGAGGCTGTTCATGCACTTTCAATTTGTACAGAAGCCCATTTTTGGTGTTACTCCCCATGACACTATCCCTTCCAGAGAGAGTCACAGAATATTGAAGTTTTTAACCTGACAAGAGAGGTTAAAAGAGACTGAAGAGAGATTAAAAAGACAGGGCCTTTTCATCTTAGAAAAGAGGAGACTAAGGGGGGATATGATAGAGATACATGACTGGTATGGAAAAAGTGAATAAGGAAAAGTTATTTACTTATTCCCACAATATAAGAACTAGGGGTCACCCAATGAAATGAATACGCAGCAGGTTTAAAAACAAACAAAAGGAAGTTTTTTGTCACTCAGCGCACAGTCAACCTCTGGAACTCCTTGCCAGAGGATGTGGTGAAGGCTAGGACTTTACCAGGGTTCAAAAAAGAGCTAGATAGATTCCTGGAGGTTAGGTCCATCAATGGCTATTAGCCAGGCTGGGTAGGAATGGTGTCCCTAGCCTCAGTTTCTCTGGAGGTGGGTGACAGGAGAGGGATCACGAGGAATACCTGTTGTGTTTCCTCTCTGGGGCATCTGGTATTGGCCACAGAAGGCAGACAGGATACTGGGCTGGATGAACCATTGATCTGACCCAGTATGGCCATTCTTACGACAAATCCCCCGAAACAGAAAAATCAAAGCAAAGGCTATGAAGTTTGCCAACCTATGAAATAACAGTTATGACGACATTAGAGCTTTGGAAAGCTCTACATATACATCATATTTCCTGGATCTCTCTCTAGAGCCCACTCAAAAATACATTCCTGGTTTTCAACACTCTCCCAGGACTTTTTTCACTTCTCTGACCTCTTGTCACATCAGCCAGGATCAACTCTGAAGCAATCAATCCACCAGTGGGTCGATTTAGCGAGCTTAGTGAAGCCCCACTAAGTTGTTCACCAATCACTCAGACGCCGACTCCGGGAGCAAGGTAAATAAGGAGGGTCTACAGGACAGTTTCTCCCATACACACAGCACGGTGTAAACCCCATGGTAAGTAGATGTAAGATGCATCAACTTGAGTTATGCTACTAATGCCACTCAAATTTTGTAACTGATCAACTTTTCCACGCAGTGTAGACCTGCCCATCTTTTCCTGACTCGCTCACTCCCAAGCCAATCTATACAAACAGCAGGGCAGTGACTGGCTAATGAGGACTCAAACTGAAAGATGAAATGATTTGACCAAGGTTGCTAAGTAAAATTAGTGAGCAACAGAGCCAAGAATCCCCCCCACCCCCTGCCAATTTTCTGTTGGGACTACCAACTTCTCTGATTTAACCATAATATTTGATTGTTATGCAGAAATGCAGTATGTGGTAAACATGAATATTCCTGGCTTTGGAGAGTGTTACTAAAATACACCAAAAGCAATTAGCCCACTTTCCTCTTTATTAAGAGCTAATTATGGAAAAGTGTTATTTAAAAAAAAAACCCAAAAGCCCAATGCACAGCCTTTTTTTTTTTTTTTTTAAGGGCAAGCGCAGAGAGTATATTTCACACTGTTTGTTACTTATTTCTACACTTCTTATTTGGAACATTAAAGCAATGGGGATCATTGGGGGCATTTCTTATCTACCATCCTGTGGAATTAATCATCAATCAGGCATGACACATGCAGCACCTCTGGGCAATTACATGATACCTTGGGTGGCTAGAGAAAACACCAGATCAAAAGCAAAATGACAATTGCCCAATAAATGCAACAATTCACAGGCAATATGAACTTACCAGGGTTGGTCACAGAGCACAGAATGAAAAAGCCCATATTCACAGCCAGCAGCACATATGGCAGCAGAAGGTAATGAGTGTCAAACTCCAGCTCTTGGCAGTAGCCAAATATTTCCCAACTGTATTCACCAAAAATTGTCACTTGTAAGGCTAAGTGCAGGACAATGAACAGGCAGCTTCTGTAATGGAAAGGGAGGGGAAAAGCTTAATTCACAACCAGTGCCCTAAAAACAAGATAAGCTTCATTCAAGAGACATTTCAGGCTCATACTAAGAGCGAGCTGCTACCGGGCTCACAGTCAAACTAACTTCTCTAACTAGGATTCCATATTGATAGCATGCAGCCTAACCAACTGCTGTGTGCTCTTATTTTTTAAAC